ATTCTTATGTATATATATATATATATTATAAATGATAAGATTTAAATCTTGACACACCATACATATATATTCAAGCTAAATCGAGTCAAACACGAACGAACACTTCTTTGTTCATGTTATGCTCATTTGCTTAGCAAACGAATCAAACACGAGCTACTTAACGAGTCGAACATGATTTGATTGCTAACAACGAGTTATTTTGACAGCCCTAATTTTTAACACATATATTAGATCAATTTATTTATTAAATATAAGTTTATATAAATATACTCCATATATACCATCACTAGAGTGTATTGTGGTAGACTCTTCTATTGAACTATACTTGAGAATATTACATGGTCGGGTAATGTGATTGGTGGAAGATGATAATGTGACAACAATCAGGATATCATGATTAGGGGGTAGTGATTAGAAAATAATGACTAGAAGGTTGTGGTTGGGCGACAAACATTGGGAGATGATGACAGGGCAAATCAAGTTGGAAGATTGTAAGCAAGCAATAACAATTAAATGATAGTGGTGGTCATCAATGTTGACCGTTAGTCAGGCGGAGCTTTAGAGTTCTTCAAATCTCTCAACTCTAGTTTAAGTTTAGCTTTTTCATATGTGGACAATGAAGGTCAACTAAATCTCTTTAGAGTAGCATTTTGATTATTTTTGTTTTAAGTAGCAATATTTCATTGGATAGCTCGTGCAGATTACTTTGACCATACATCATTAACTTGACATTTTATTGTATTAATAATTTTGAAATTAGGTGACCTAAGGCTCATTAGATTTCTCTAATTAAAAATATTCAATTTTCTTGTAAGTAGTCATGGTCTATAAATCGTTTAAATCTTTAATTAATCTCTTGATTTTTTTTTTAATAATTTATGTTCACGATTAGGAATTATTTTAATTAAGATATCATCACCCTTTTATGCCCTTAGGATTATTAAAATATATATTTTTTTATTTTTTTATCATCACCCTTTTATGCCCTTAGGATTATTAAAAAATATATATATATATATTTTTAAAAAAATATATTTGTATCAGTGCTTGATTGAAAATTTTTTGTTATGGCACTTTTAGCTTTCAACTCTGGTACCTCCTCTCTTCTTCAATGCATCATACCTCTTTCAGCTTTCGTACCTCCTCTTGGATGGGTTCCACCAATGTCATGGTCAAGCTTCTAATCTTCTGCTTCATGGGTCGGGTTGACGGGTTGACGGATCGACGTTCAATCTATGGCAGGCAGCGTCGATCGCGCGTTCGACATCTTGGCGGTAGTACATGTGAAAGCATCTCAATTTTCTAGGAGGGTTTGGACAAGCAATACCCTCTATCCTGCATCAAAAGCTTCACTTATTAGAAAACATCTACCTGGATACCCTTCAGTAGTTGGAACCTCACTGGTGGTTTCGTTGGTCTCTAGGCCACCTTATCTTGCATTCTGAATATCTATGGGATCATGCTCCACATTGTTTATAGCTCGCAAGTAGCAAAATCCGGATTGTTCCCCCCCCCCCCCCCCCCCCACCCCCCCCCGCCAGAAGAAAAAACCCGGGGGTCCCCCCCCCCCCCCCATCGTGATGATTTCTAGAAAACTTGACAACAATATGGTAAGTAAAGACCACCGCCTTAAAATCGTTCAGGAGTGGTCTGCGTGTTATAGGTTGTGCGAGGGGGGTGGGGTTTGCGTTAGTGTAAATTGTTCCTAATTATCCCCCCTAACTTACTGGGAGCCTGACCACCCCCAGTACTTCATTCCTTTAGCCCTATAATCCATATAGCGGTCCGATCGCCATAGATATTCGATCGTCAGTGAGGCTCTGTTTGTCGAATACTTGCTTAAATTGTACATTCATAGAGCTCCCTATATCAATGAGAACATTTCATACTTGATAGTTGTTAATTATCATCGTTATTACAATAACATGTTATATGAGTTCTTTTTTTGGGCGGAGAACCACATTAGTAAAATAAATAGGCAGATGATCCTTAGGCTTCAAGACAAAGGTTACGACGCAGAGTTCCTCAGTTTGCTTTCTCTTTCGGTTTGCTCTTCTCGATATTTCACTTCCTCTAAAGATTTCGGGCACATATCATATCCTACTGTGGGGGCTTTCAGTTGGTGCAGATAGGTCCATCGGTCGTTCCTCCCACTGGGGCTTTACCCTATCTCTGGATCGCGGCTCCAAGGGTGACAAATTCTTTCAGCTTCCTCTCCCTTATCATTTTCTCTATCAGACCTCGCAAGTGTCTGCATTCCTCTATGTCGTGCACAAGATCCCAATCATACTTGCAATATTTGCTTCTATCTAGGAGGTAAGCACTTGTTCTCATCGGTGGTGCCTTCTTAAAAAAAACTTTGCCCTGAATAACGTCCACTATTTTTGTCGTGGACACTCTCAGAGGGGTTCGTGGGGGCCCATGGTTGTGTCGGGGGTGCTCATGGTGATAGAACGATCAGCGGTTCTAAGCCCTGACCTATTGGTTCTGATCCTTGTGACAATGAGTGGGGTTCTCATAGCTTGGGCAGACGGTCTGTCATGTACTCTATCTGGGTTGCTTTCTGTTGTCTTGTGGCAGTCATTTCTAGTGCCTCTGTTCGGCAGGTTCTGGAGCGTTTTCATAGGTGACGATATATTTGTTGGTCATCTTTATTTGTTAGATCAAGTACTGTGGCTTTGTGAGTTCAAGGTCAAAATAAAATCTTTTCGACTTGACTCTCTATGTCAGTGCACTTATGTCATGTTGGGTTTCAGATCATTGAGATCAAGTGTTCACTATAGAAAAATGTTATAAATGATCACAAGCTCTTGTTGGCTCACATGTTAAGTTTTCATAGAGAGTAGGCGCTCTTCATAGACCTCAAGGAACTGAAACTGTGATAGAAAAAGTCTCTTGAATTCTGCAAAACACGTGATTACTTTTACAAGCAAACCGTCAAACCACCTTCATGCGGTTGATCTCAATGATGTGAAGAATAGCTTACACTTGAGGGCATCCTAAATTTTCAATAGTTATATGAATGATTCGAACAATGTGAGGTGGTCGTTGAGATCCAATCGTCCTTTATATGATTCTATGAGATTTGTAAAGAGAAAGCATCTCCGGATGCGTTTGCACCTCATCCACGCTTGTCGGTTCCTCTCCCCCAAAGGGATGGATCTGGCGCTGCCTTGGTACAAACCGTCATCGGGCTTCTTCTGTAGGTGAATCACTCTTCCTCCATTGTTTATTGGTGGTTCTGCTTGAGGGGGATTAGGTGCTCCTCGCTGGGCTAGCTCCTCTCCCAGGACTTGGACTGCCCCCTAAGGCGGCCACGACTCTGAGTGTCTCTGCAAAATTTCATGACATCTGGTTGGTAATTTGTGTTCTCAAATCCTGCAAGCCTTGTTGGACAAATTATTCCATAAACTCCCTATTGCATGCTGCTTCAACCCCATTCCTTTGACTAGATTATCCCTATTGTTGTTGTTAGGCTCCACTTTTTGTTGACAACATGTTTTCACACTCACCGCACTTTACATGATGTTGAATCCAAATATGTCTGAGAAACGCGCCCAATGTGTAAAGTGTTCTATAGGTAAAAGTGAGTGTTTTTTTTTTATTCATGATATAGGCCCCTATTTATAGTCATAAGTCTTAACATTAAAAAAGTACACATTAGTTCTCTCATCATTAATTTGTCAGAAGAACCTTTTGGTAATTTATAGAGATATTTACATATAATAAAATTAGCAGACTGGTTCGATCGATAAGAAGTTCACCGACCGCCTACTAAATCTTGGCTCCGTTGACATTGGGTCCGAGAGGATACTCCTTGTCGATCGTTCTGATGACCAATCACTACATTGTGAGAGATCCTCAGACACACTTTACTAATCGCTCAAACAAAACACTCCTTTCATTGGTGTCCAAACCAAACGATCGTCGACGAGCTATGTCCAATCAAACATATCTTTTTCCCGAGCAGTCCATCCGCCTTTAGATTCATGCTAACATATTTTTCGCATACAATTTTTTTTGAGATGACTACATACAAAACACCAGACACATTGATACTTACAAATTAATCACTTTGATCATTTTTTTTTTAACTAGCAAACTGATGAATTTATAAGTGTCAGAATCAAATTATTGAGAATTTAATAAAAATGAAAAATATGAATTGAGATTTTATGATGAATTTTGGTATTTATGAGATAATTTCAAAATGAATGTAAGAGGATTGTTTATTTGTAAATAGCTTGTTTCGTGTAGTGTGTATGTAATTTCCGCTACTTTTGGGTATAAAACGAATCCAGTCTCGGCCATCCAAAGCTGTGGCCTTTCTTCTTCTTATCATCCGACAAATTTGAGGATTTTTTCATCCGCTCAGATTCCAAAGATTAAAAAAGAAACAAGAAAAAAGACTTCGAAAACGAAACAAAAAGGTTAGTGTAGCAATCATCCAAACCTAATTTGGAATTTGCGAGTTATTTATAATATATCATCTGAATTGATTTTAGGGTTTCTTTTTTTTTTGGTTGACTAATTCTCTTTTGCTGGTTTGATTTCTTCAAAGGAATATTGTATGTTGCGGCATCTTTGTTTTGTTTTTTTTTTTCTCTTCTAGATCTCTTTTTTGTATTCAGTTTATATTAATAATCACATAAATCTCAGTAACTTGCGGCCGTTGGAGGTTTGTTAACCAATTTGTATGATTTCTGGAAGTAAGCTATCTTCTGGATTGATTGATGAAGTCAGAGAATTTTTTACGGAAATTGATTTGGTGGAGTTGAAGATTGGATTAAAAATTTTGCCCTAATTTGTTTCAAAGGCTGTTGGTATTCATGATTAGGAGAGGAAGATGACCAGCTTAGGCTGACTTCTCTCATTTTTTGGTGATGTTAGAAGGCAGGTATGGGAGCAGGGAGATCGGTTCTTATCTATTTGGCGAGGATCTGGAGTCTCCGAGGCGAATGGAGCAGATGAATGATGCAAAACCTCCTCGGCACCTTTCGGTTATCCGGCATTGCGCGAGCACTAACCGATTGGTGGATTCATCGGAACAACATGTATTTAATTTCTAGGATTTCTCTGCATGGATTCTGATTGCTTTGGTTTAAATGGGAATTCATTCTGTTCGGTTTTATGATTTGTTTTATATATTAGGGCTTGGATCTGAGGCCTCCGAGGTTGCCTCCTTCATTGGATGAGCAGTGTGAATTTTTACCGGTTTTTAGGTCTGGAAGCTGCTCGGACATTGGGGCGAAACCCTATATGGAAGATGAACATATTTGCATAGATGACATAATCAATCATCTTGGAGGTGGTGTTGTTCTTCCAGCACCTGGCGCTTTCTATGGGGTGCGTTGCAATTTTTAATTTGCTTTAAAAATGTTTTTTTTTCTAAGAAATTATTACATCATTTGAGATTATTGACTATATCAAAGTTTGGAGAAAATATTCCGTCTGAACGAAATATTTTTTTCCAAAGTTTGGGGTATGGACAAATGTGTTGCATAATTCTTATGTATTTACATATTGTATTCGCACAACCCGAAACATTGACATTAACAAATTAACAATTTGGTTGATTTTTTTGAACAACCGAATCAATTTATGTACGCGTGCCACGATTAAACTATCGAGAATTTGATTAAAATGAAAAATAGGGGTTGGGTTTTTACCATGAATTTTGATATTTGAGTGAGATTTTAAAAAATGAATGAAAGATAGCGGTTGATTTTTAAATAGTAAGCTTCAGATTGTATATAATTGCCTCTTTTATTTTATGTTTTAAAATATAGATCGGCTTGTTTTGAATGTTTTTAAAAACAACTAAGCCTATTATAACATACCAAGTATGTTTTATTTTTATTATAAATATAAACAAAAAAGTGATCTTAAACAACTTCTTAATGCTTGAGTTATATCAAAAATATATGTATGAAAAATTGATTTCAGTTTAGATAAGTTGTTGTTTGTGTTATTTTTTATGTTATTACAAACTATGATGTTACATAAATAAATATAAAAATTTAGTTATTGGATATGTGAATAGATAAGAATTATGTGGTGTGTATGTAAGGGTCCGTTTGGGGCAGCTTGTGCGTTTCAGGATAAGCTGCTTATCCTGAAACACAGCCCGCCGAGACCCGCAGGCCGACCGCAGGGGTCGACCCGCGGCCCGCGTTTAGTGTAAAAATCCAAACGCAGTTTCGGATAAGCTGGCGAAACACGCGAACCAAAAGGTACGGCGGCGTTTTGAAAACGCTGATCGCACTTATAAGCTGCCCCAAACGGACCCTAAATCTCCATTTGTTCATATCATTGTGTTTCCTTTTCATATTAGGCCCTTCTAATCTAAAATATTGCTAAAACAAATCTCTAGTGTTTTTGTAATGTCATGAGTGAACAACTTGAATGGAACTAACTTTGACAAGAGATTAAAATGAATAGGTATTTGATGGCCATGGTGGCATTGATGCGGCTTCTTTTGTTCGAGAAAACTTGCTCAAGTTCATAATTGAGGACCATAACTTCCCTAACTCGGTGGAGAAGGCCATGAAAAGTGCATTTGTGATGACCGATCATGCATTTGCCGATTCGCCTTTTCTCGATTGCTCCTCAGGGACAACGGCTTTGGCCGCTCTTATATTTAGAAGGTCTGTTCTGGCAACAATATCTACTATCTCTTATTTGAGGGGCATTTACATACATACCATCCAATTCTTTTGTTTTTTTTTTTACATTTATACCACCCAAATCTTTCATATCACATCAAAAAATACACCTTTTCAAGCATGGGAAAGGTGGGTATATGTACAAAAATTAAAATTTAGCCCTTAGATATGTAGATGCATCAAGTAGTATGCATGCAAATCTTCATTTCCTTTATTTAACTCGAGGTTTTAGGGATGTTAGAGTTATTGGGAGCTTTCATCCAGAATATATCTTTATTAGCGAGAAATTTTATTTACTGTATACTTTTCGAGTCATTTGCATACATACCAATTCCTCTTTATTAATGTATCTTACATATGAACTATTATTTTTTACATTTATGCCACCTAAGTCTTTTATATCAGATACAAAATACGACAATTTTAACTTTTAAAAAGTAAAATACACCTTTTCATGCATAGGTCGGGTGGTTATGTATGTAAAAAATTGATGTTTAGGTGTTACATATGCAAATACATAAGAATCGATTGGTATGGATGTAAATATCCTATATGGAGGCACTTTTGCATCAACACATTATTCAATTCGATAATAAACATTGCAATTCTAACTTTCTAGCATACCGTGTGCTGGAACATTGCATGATTTGATCATTTTCCTTCTTGTGGCTTTGGTTAAAGCCAAATGAGCAGAGAGCGAGGATTCATCTAACCAACCCCCAAACAGTATGATATGGTTTGATTTCTTCGAAGGCCGCGGCTCTATTTTGAGTTGTTAACTATGTAATATTATATAGTTGGAAGATTTACATACATATCACTCAATTTTATATACATTTCTATGCATGAAAAGGTGTATTTCACTTTAAAATGGTGGTATTTTTTATTTAATATTAAAGATTCGGGTGGTATAAATGTAAAAAACAAAATTTAAGTGTTGGATATATAAATACATAGGAATTGGATGGTATGTATGTAATTGCCCTATATATTGTTTCGAGTACCTAGTATGGTTAAATGTAGGGAAAGGGAAATTTACATACATACCATACAATTCTTATATATTTACATATCTAACGCTCAAAGTTTGATATTTACATTTATAACATCTTAGTGTCAAAAACAACGCATGAAAAACTGTATTTCACTTTAAAAAATGGTGGTAATGGTTATAGTTTTGATGTGATGCTAAAGAGTTTTTGGTATACATGTGAATATATATGTTTAGCCGTTGGATATGTTATTATATGAAACTTATGTAGTATCTATGTAAATGCCCTTTAAATGTAAGAAATCACCTAGACTAGTCTGATGTAATTTCATTTACTTCCTCTTCTTCTCATAAATCCTCGCCGTTGTAGGACCATGCTTATCGCCAATGCCGGAGATTGTCGTGCTGTCTTAGGTAAGCGTGGCCGCGCCATTGAGCTTTCTCGAGACCACAAGCCAAATTCTCGATTTGAAAAGCTTCGAATCGAGAAACTTGGCGGCATGATTTCTGACGGCTATCTAAATGGCCAACTTTCTGTATCAAGAGCTCTCGGAGATTGGCACATGAAGGGCCCGAAAGGCTCCGCATGCCCTCTAAGTGCCGAGCCGGAGCTCCATGAAACCATCTTAACCGAGGAAGACGAGTTCCTGATAATCGGCTGCGACGGCCTTTGGGATGTGATGAGCAGCCAATACGCAGTCACCGTCGTCCGAAAAGATCTCATGGCTCACAATGATCCGGCAAGGTGTTCAAGGGTGCTTGTTCGAGAGGCGCTTCAGAGAAACAGTTGTGATAATCTCACGGCGATTGTTGTCTGCTTCTCATCGAATCCGCCGCCTCGCATCGAGGTCGCCAAACCCCGCGTCCGGCGAAGCATTTCGCTCGAAGGTTTGCATCTTCTCAAGGGGTTCTTGGACAGCAATGGCTGAAACTGAAAGAATTTGATGGTATTATTTGTTTGTTTCTTTCTTTTCTAGTTGGTCCGGTCAATTTGAACAATAAGGTTTTAGATGTGATTTTTTGTTTGAAGAAAGTAGGTTGGAAGTGTAAATTTGAGATTTCAGATTAATTCCATTCATGGGAAGCACTCAGGGTTTCTATTGTAATTCTTAATTGTATTTTTTGTGTTTAGTTGATCTTTGATGTTACTAGGGCTGGGGGATGAAGGTTTTGTGTTTCAATAAGAAATTGTTTTTGTTGATCTTTGGGAGTTGATTTCACTTTTATAGTATTGCACATATGGCCTGAGGGTCATTTTGGGCAATTTTTTTAATTTTTTTTATTTCTTTTTTGCTATTATGTGTCTATGTATAAATCATATTTTTTTTTTTTTTTTTTTTTTTTTTTTTTCCCAATTTTTTTAGTAATTTATGTGGGGGAAAAATTGGTTTTTGCAATAAGATATTTTGAACAAATTTCAAGCAATTTCAAAGATGACAATGTGTTTTATAGTATATTTTTAGATTTAAGATTTAGGGGGGTGTTTGAACCATTCTTTTAAGAGCATTTAAGTTAGATTTAATGTAAATCCAGTCAAATATAATAAGTTTGATAGATCTGTCGATAAGTTAAATCTAATTTTTACTTGTTCTGTTTATTAAATTCAGATTTACTAAATTTACTTATTAGTTGGATTTAAGAGATTTAATGCATAAAAAATATATTTCAAATAGATTTATGTTGAGCTTATCAAATGGGCTTAATTGGATTTAAACTCAATTGAGCCGATCATCGTTAATATTTATATTCAGTAAATTCAAATTTATCAGATTTAGTAGATCTTATTTAACTTAAATCTCGCTTGCAGCCAAACACCCCCTTAATGTAGACAAAACTTTATTCTTGAATAAAGATTAGTAGTATGTTGAGAATGACAATCGTGAAAGTAACTTATTGTTCCATTTTCATTAATATTGAAGTATTCATTTTTATTTTAGTACAAAAAAAAATTAAAAATTTTCAAAAATTAAAAAAAAGATGAGCAATCATGCCCACTTAATTACTACGTATTTACATGTCTAATATCTAAAATTTAAATTTTAGGATTTTAAAGTATCGAAAATTCAAAACAGTGAATATAATATTTTAATCATCTAAATTTTAAATATAACATTTTAATCGTCATTTTCTTTCTGTCATTCTTCATAAAGTTTTGGGTAGTTGAAATGTTCTCTTTAAAGTTTGGGTGGTCAATACATATACTCGATGTTTTGGGGGCTTGATATGTTAGAGCCCCAACTGTTATATATTTCATAGTTAAAAATTAAAAAAATAATATGTTTGACGTGACACAACCAATTTAGGTGATATAAACATAAAAAATAATTTAAGCTTGTAAGGTAGCATTGTGGTGTTGTGCTAATTTAGCTTGAAGGTCTATTTGGGGCAGCTGCAACTTATCCAATTTATCCTGATAATCTGGTGATAAGCAGCTTATCCGGACAATCTATCTGTCTGTTGGGTTAATGTGTTTTGCAAACAACTGATTCTGGATAAATTATCAATCTGCCTCTGTTCTGGATAAACTGTTGAGTTGTTTGGTTCGTGCGTTTTGTAAACAGCTTATTTGAAATTTATTTTATTTGAATTAATAATTTGTGTTTCAAAATTAGTTATTTTATCAACAAAATTAAAGATCAAATGTTAAGACATGACAATACAAATAAGTGAAGTTACATTTATATAACTCAAATATATCTGATCACATAAAACGAGCAAAGTTATGCATACAAAAGTAAAATGCATCTCCACATATTTATATTGACTATAATAAGATAAAAAAAATAATAAAAAATAACACGTCAAAATGACAAGGAAAAAAATTATAATGTTGACTTTAAAATGTAGCAGCAAATCACGGCCCATGCCGCCCGGTCCACCATTCTTTTGAAGCATCCACGGTGCGCTTGACAGGATCTCAGCCCAATCCCGTCGATCCCCGTGTTGACTTTAAAATGTAGCAGCAAATCACGGCCCATACCGCACGGTCCACCATTCTTTTGAAGCATCCACGGTGCGTTTGACAGGATCTCAGCCCAAACTCGTCGATCCCCGCTTAAATTCTTTCTATAACTTTCACTTCTTTTTTAGCTGATCCCATTTGTTCTTGAAATTCTATCTATCATAATCTCGTCCTGTAATTTCTTTAATTTTTTTGAAAATATTATGCCACCCTTCTTTATTAAAGTAGGTGGTAAGTCTATTTCCAAGTTCAATCTCTTTAATACATAAGTTGCAGAAAATGTATGTCACATCGTTGTCCCACATTGCTGATGAAGTCCCTTCTTTGTTTTTATTCATAATGCAATTAATGAAATATATAGATCAAATAGTGCAATGACATTGAAAATAAAATAAAGCTTCAAGAGGAACAATGATTATGTCAATTACAACTCCAAATATAAATTCAAATAGAGAAAAAAGAGTGTGAGAATTAAAAGTACAAAAAAGTTAAATAAAATAATTGGTAGTCAAATTAAAAGTACAAAACCAAAAACTAAAAACTCTATGCTAATTTCATGCACCCTCATGAAGCACATAAACGCAGGAATCACGTTTTAGTGACAGATGCAATACAATATTTGTTGGTAACAACAAGCCAGACTGTGAAACTTCTCATTTTGCAGTATTTAGAGCTATCTCTAAAAAAGTTTTACAAATTCACCAACTAGATTGACTCTATCCAAAATGTATGGGATAAGCACTCCATAATACCACTTTCTTCTTTCATTTAAATTGAATGCAACATTTGGAGTTAATATAATGTGACATGTTAACGAATATGCTACTCCACCAAGTTTTATCCATTCCATCAAGAAAATCAAAGCAATATCATTAGAAAAAGGAGAAGTATAACAATAAGAAATAAACAGATCAAGACATTTTCATAAAGAAGTAAATTGAAAGAAGAAAAAAAATAAAAGTATAGCAATAAGAAAAAAAAAAAACAAACGCAAACAGATCAAGCCAACTTCCATAAAACAAAAGTATAGCAATAAGAAAAAAAAAACAAACGACAAACAGATCAAGCCAACTTCCATAAAAAAAAAACAAAAGTATAGCAATAATAAATAAACAAATCAAGCCAACTTCTATAGAAAAAAAATAAAAAAACCAAAACAAAGATGAAGAACAAAAACGATCGGACGAACAAGCAGCGAAAAGAAAAACATCCAACGATATCTTCACGGAAATATACAAATCGGAAAGCGGCTGAGTATCGAGGAGGAAAAAAATGAGGTTACCAGTGAGCGAAAGATGGAGGAGTTCTGCGAACGGAAGAAGGAGGAGGTCTGCGAACGGAAGGAGCGAACATCGAATAGAAGACGGAGGAGACAGAGGAGACGGAGGAGTGCCGATGAGTGCTGCACACGGGATCGAGCATCACAAAGGAGACGTAGGAGTGTTGCGCACGTGTTCGAGCGTCATGGACGAGACGGAGGAGCACAGGATCGAGCGTCACGGAGGAGACAGAGGAGTTGCCGAGGAGTGCTGCGCACAGAATCGAGCGTCACCGAGGAGACGAAGGAGTGTTGAGGAGTGCTGCGCACGGGATCGACAGAAGAGCCGTTGCGAAATTAGGGCAAAGGAGACGTGGGCATCAGGGGTCTTTAGACAGTATTAAATGCGGATCGCGGGATCTACCCACGATTCGCGTATAATACCAAAAATGTAAACAGAGTTTTAGCAAAAGCTGGCTGACTCGTTTTTCCAAAAAGGTGATGTCATGTTGAAAACGCCACCGTTCTAAATAAGCTGTCCCAAACACACTCTGAATTTAACTTAAATTCAGTCAAACAATAATTTAAAAAAAAACTACTTCAAATGTTACGTTAAATCGAATTTGCGCTTTCCATAATTTTTTTCATGGTCTGTCATTTTTTAAATTTAAATATGAATTTATTAAATCCTCGTCCCTTATGAGCTATGTGCATGCAAGGTTTATTAAATTAGGATTCAATAAATCCTTTTTAAGGTAAATAGAAGGTGCACTCAAATAACGCCTAAGTGTTGGGAGGAAATAATACACGGTCAGTATGAATTGATGATATTCTTGTGGTATTTTGGAGATATTGCAATACAATACTAGCACAAATACCATCAAAATACTATCATATATGTTATTCTAATAATATTATGATGATATTACAATACAATATCTACCAATCTACACCTAATACACACCCATCATATTCTCGAGTTGTATTTTCTAGAGTGTTCAGGATACTGTGGGTGCTGATTTATGGTATTTTAATGGTTTATTGTGGATAACAGTGGAAAAATATTACATCAAGACTCCTAACGTAGAACTACGTTTGAAGTCCACTCATATATAGACATATGACTTCAAAAAAACGAGCGCGTTTTCCTGTAATCCGACCCGTTAACACAGAAGAATATTTCTACCGTTTTTCTGCCGGATTATTATGTATTATTGTGGTGGTATTGATGTGTTATTGTGTTATTACAATATTGAAAATATTCATAGAATATAATAATATACTTATTGTGGTTGTATTGATGTATTATTGTGTTATTACAATATTGAAAATATTTATAGAATATAATAATATATTATACGAATATCATCACAATAATAAATTAATAGTACAAAATAACATGAGAGAAATATTACTAGGAGCTTAAAACGATTTTTTTTATTAAGTAGGAAATATTTTTCCGATAACAGGAAAGTAAATGCATGCTCTCGATGTTTTCTGCTTGGCGTGAGGGAGAAAGGCGATAGAGAAATGGCGGAGTCAAGGGTTAGGGATGAAGTCGGAGAGCAGCCAGGGATAGCGTTAGGGTTTGGGAAAGAGGACAAAGAGAAAGATAATGGGGTGGATGATTTGAGGCCATGGGAGCAGCACTCGGCCGTTATCAGCATCCCTCGCTACGATTACAAGGCTCCATCCTCGCTTATTGAACGCTCCCGCTCCGGGTTCCTCATTACTTGCCCAATCAGTAAGATCCTTTCTCCATTATCGTAATATAAAGTTCTTTTTCGTCTGGTCTTTAATTTCTGTCAGTTCGAAGAACAGTGAGACAATGGTGCAGAGAAAGTAGTAAATTATGTTGATTCATGCTGTCCTGAATATGGGGGAAAAGAGAAATTAGTTTTGATGAACGATAAGTTGGTAATTCAAGTTCCCAAGCTTGAATATACAATCTGATATTGTTTCATCTCTTCATGTTGTCTGCTTCTTCATTGAAAAAGGGGACAATCACATTATACATCTCAAATGCGATATTTTTGAGAGAATTTATCACAAACTCAACTCACAATGCATCTGCGTTAGTTTGAGGAAAATGAGAAGCCTTTTGGTTTTTTGCTTGTTATTTTAAAATTTATAGGATTTAGTAAACCCAAATAAATAAATTTGTTTGATAAAAAACTGCTAAATTTTGCTATATCCCGATAAACCGTAAAATTCAAAAAAACTCAGTTTGACCGGATTTAAGCCTAAAATTACATACTAAAAACAGCTCTTTAGTTTTCTCTTTACCTTTGATTGATTGGCCTTATATCTGAATTTGTTGGTGTGGCCTATCAAGTCACTTTAGTTGTTCATTTTGAGAATTCAGTCGATCCGAGCGTGCACATCACAAATCAAGACAAGGTGTTCATTGGTAGTTTGTATCCTTTAATTGGACTTGCTGTTCTTTGATCATTGCCTTATTTAGACTTCAAATCTTCCAATTCTCAGTGACATTTGATGTCTTAATTTATTGGGGCATTTACATACATAGCACACAACTCTTATTTATTTACTTACCTCACACCTAGCACACATATCTTTAATATCACATAAAAAATAACACTATTATCGCTTTTTAAAAATGAAATACACATTTTCATGCATAAGTTTAAAGCACCAAACAGTTGGTTATGTAAATCAGAAACTTTATGTGTGAGATGTGTAAATACATAAGAGTTTTGTGCTATGTGTGTAAATTTACCTAATTTATTTTACTTACAAATATTTAGAATTGGGTCTAGTTCAATTGACATTTAACTTGTGAGAGAAGAGACATTCTAGTAGCATATATTATTCTTTTCCAATTGCTATTTAGATTACCCATGTTAGATCCATTGTTATGGTCTACACATCACGCTTATGGAGGGACATAATAATAATATAAGTTTTTCTTTGGGTGCTGGATGCTACTACTAACTTGGTTTGGGATATTAGAGCATATAATAATGGATTAGTCCGCGGAGCAAATGGTTGGCATGGAGATAGTTTTAGAACAAAACTTTTTTTGGAGCGCAACATTCTTTTTCTTGATTTGTAATGTTTAAAAGATTAGGGATCGCTTGGTAATGTATTGCCATTCTTTTTGTTGCTTGAACAACAAAAGCATATTTAAGGCATTTTGCTCAATTGTTGTGAGAATTTGTTTATATAAAAGTTTTAAAAATAGCTTTTTTGGACGCTAATTTATGGTCTTTTTGGAGTGGCTGCAATTGCTGGTAAAACTGGCTTTGGAAATAGTACATGTGATGTAAAATTATTAGAAATTATTCTGGCTATTATAGATATTTTTTCTCAAAAAATACTAGTATCATATTTTAGCATATCTGGTTATGAAAAGATCGTTAGCACCACAAATTTTTGAAAAACAATGGCAAGAAGATAGTCACCATACAAAAGTGTGGCAGAGGTAAAGTAAATTATGAACATTTCCATCACACCCTTAGATGGCTTTCTGAAGAAGGAACTTATAAAATTTCTATATTTTCCTTTATTAGTATGCTACAGGTGCACCAAACGTATCTTGCTTGTACTAAAGTAATATTAAAAACAGGTAGAAAAAAAATGAATTAGTATAATTAGGTTATTTCATTATCTCAAACTTTTTTCAAAAGTGATGATCTTATTTTTCACTCTTAAAATGAGTGAAAATAAAATAATCATTTACTAAAACATTTTTCTATTTACAACCTACCAAATGAGCACTTGGATTAGTTATGATAAATGTCATGGTTTAGTTGATGCTTAAAAGAAAAAGAAGTCCAAGATTGGTTAATTATGTAATTTATTATGGCAGAGTATCAAAACTCTTGAATGAAGCTTTGTTATTGGAATCAAATTTATTGTTATTCCAGTGCTAAAGGTGAATCCATTCATGTCAGCATTTCACTATCAATAATAATCTTGAAAGAGGCACGGTCCACTAAATTCATTAATATATGGAAAAAGAAGCATCCAAGTTCCGTTTATATTGGTGTCACATTATATTTTAGGGCATATTTGCGATCATTTTTTTTTCAAATATATTGTTAGAGTATTTTTCACATATTTTTAAAATAAATAATAATAAATAAATAAATAAATAAATAAATAAATATAT